GTTTCACCATGTTGACCAGGATGGTCTTGATCTCTTGACCTTGTGATCCACCCGCCTTGGCCTCCCAAAGTGCTGGGATTACAGGCGTGAGCCACCGCGCCCGGCATCCCTACACTTTCAATCAATGCTTCCGAGTCTTTCACCCCCTACCTACAGAGGAACCTGAGGCTGCCAATCAAGGCAATAAGCTAAACTGGGTCTCTTCTTTCCACACTGCTGGTTCAGGATAGGCTTTCCTCAGGTTTGCTAGGTCATTATTATTGGTCCATGTGTTTCCTGCTTCCAAAGCTTTGTTTTTAAGTGGGTGCATTGGCTCATGCCTGTAATCCCAGCACTTTGGGAGGCTGAGGCAGGCCGACCACCTTAGGTTAAGGGTTCGATACCAGCCTGGCCAATAAGGCGAAGCTCCATCTCTAATAAAAATACAAAAACTAGCCGGGCACTGTGGTGGGCACCTGTAATCCCAGCTAGCAGGGAGGCTGAGACAAGAGAATCTCTTGAACCCAGGAGGAAGAGATTGCAGTGACAAGACTGTGCCACTACACTCTAGCCTGAGAGCGCGAGACTGTCTCAAAAGAAAACAGAACAAAACAACAACAAAAAGTTTTGCTTCTTTTTTTTTAAAGATGGGATTTCACCATATTGATTAGGCTGGTCTTGAACTCCTGACCTCTGGTGATCCACCTACCTCAGCTTCCCAAACTGCTGGGATTACAGGCGTCAGCCACTGCGCCCAGCAAGTTTTGTTTCTTTCTGTTACTTCCTCTCCTTTATTCTCCTACCTTTATAGTTTTATACTTTTTATAAATTCCCTTTTTTTGACTCCTAAGGGGATTTCAGGAAAGAATAAAAGTAGCGGCATGTATGCTATCAGTCACATTTACCTGGATGTTTCTTTTTTAGTTTTAAAAAATATCATTCTCGCTGGGCACAGTGGCTCACACCAGTAATCCCAGCACTTTGGGAGGCCAAGATGGGTGGATCCCAAGGTCAAGAGATCGAGACCATCCTGGCTAACATGGGGAAACCCTGTCTCCACTAAAAATACAAAAATTAGCCAGGCACATTGATGGACGCCTATAGTCCCAGCTACTCGGGAAGCTGAAGCAGGAGAATCGCTTGAACCCAGAAGGCAGAGGTTGCAGTGAGCCTAGATCATGCCACTGCACTCTAGCCTGGCGACAGAGCAAGACTCCATCTCAAAAAAAATAAAAATAAAAATTATTCCTTGCCAGGTGCAATGATTCACGCTTGTAATCCCAGCACTTTGGGAGGCTGAGGTGGGAAGATTGCTTGAGCCCTCGAGTTCAAGACCAGCCTGAGCAAGAAAGTAAGATCCCAGTGACAGAGTGAGACCACGCTGGACATCTGTAATTAAAAAAAAAAAATTACCCCAGCTTGGGCAGCAAAGTGAGACTCTGTCTCTACGAAAAAAGAAACAAATTTAAAAATGTAGCCAGGTATGGTGATGTACACCTGTAGTTCCAGCCCCTTGGAGGCAGAGGTGGAGAGGTCACTTGAGCCCAGTGGTTCAGGCTGCAGGGAGCTATGATGTTGTCACTGCACTCTGGCCTGGGCAACAGGAAGACTGTCTCAAGGAAAAACGTGTTTTGTTTTTTTTGAGACAGAGTCCTGCTCCAGCGCCCATGCTGCAGTGCAGGTGCCATCCCAGCTCATTGTAACCTCTGCCTCCCGGGTTCAATCGACTCTCCTGCCTCAGCCTCCCTAGCAGCTGGGATTACAGGCACCCAACACCATGCCCGGCTATATTTTGTATTTTTAGTAGAGACAGGGTTTCTCCACGTTGGCCAGGCTGGTCTCAAACTCCTAACCTTACTTAGGTGATCCAGCCTGTCTCCAAAGAAAAAAAATTCTTATATTACTTACCTCTGCAAAACCCCTTTTACCACATTAAAAAAAGAACCTGATTCACTGGTTCTGGGAAT